ATTGAAAATACCATTTCTGGACTCGTACTCTTTCAATAGCCAAAAAGTATGGTCGGGAAGCAAGTTACCTGTAATTACATGCTTGTACTGATTATTTTCCAGCTTTACACTGGAAATGTTTGCCCTGTTTAGTTGCGCGTTGAGAAAGATTTTGTTTGACAGCAATTTAGGCTGCGCATTGTAATTCAAAAGAAAGTCGTAAAGAGCGTGTACTGACTTTCTAAAAGTAATAGAATAATTCTCAATTATTTCCTCTGGTTCATCTTCACTGTCGCTGTGTTCGCATTTCTTTCTATCAATGCTTTCGATAAACTCAATTCCTTCGCTCTGTAAAATTGTTCTTAATCCTGGGGTGGATTTGTTCATATGTGCAATAATTTCCCCATCTTGTTAATATGAAATACCTTTAACATAGAACAGTACTGTAAATTCACAGATATAATAAAAATAGTCTGATTGATAATTCTTGAGCATCAAGTACAACGATTGCATGGATAATTTCCAGTCTTTCGAATGGTGGAACCAACTGTACAAGTACTTTGTCAACGAATCTTTTTTAAACAGGACGCTTTTTTGTTCTACTTCGACTATACCGGAGCTGAATTGGATCATCTCGCTAACATCTCTCTTTGGATCAGGTTTGATGTGAAAATCGCATATTATCACTATCCTTGATTTTATAGCCCAATCGATATATAGATCTTCTGCCTTTTTGGGTTCAATTTTGATTCTCTCTATCTGTATTTCCTGAAGCGGTATTGAATTTTCTACTTCTGGCTCCTTTTTGAACAGTTGCAAGGTATTGCTTCTGAATGATGTTGGTTTCTTTTGCGATTGAGTAATGGTGAACGGGTTGATGCGTTTTTTCCCTAGGCTGGAATCCGTTGGTTTGTGCTCTCTATTCAGGAAGTTTGCGAATTTAACTGCCTGGCTCTTCTCCATTTTTTTCTTGATTGTTGTCCAGAATCTAAAACGGAATGCGGAAATCACGGCTGGAGTTGTTGGAGGAGTTCAGACAAACCAAACAGACAAAGATATTAAAGCAAAAGAATAGCAACACTGTCGTCAAGAAGGAAGTAAAGAAGGAGGAACCAAAAGTTATAAAGAAACTCGTCAAACCACAGGTTGAAAGTAAAGTTATACCCGCTCAAGACAGCAAGCAAAACAAAGCGGTAGAAAGCAAGCAAAGCAAAGCGGTAGAAAGCAAGCAAAGTACAAATGAAAAATCAAAGCCTGAACCTATTGAGAACCGCGTTCGGGAAAGTTCACCAGAATTACAAACCCAAGAATCTGCATTGGCTTTTGATCAGTCAGACAAAGATGATAGTCCTATGGAACTGAAAAATGAATCGTTCAGTGAAAATAAGGAGCACGAGTTGGTAAATCATAATATTGTTGTACAGTTGGAACTCGAATCAAAAACAAATCAGATTGAACAATTATCAAGCTTGAACAAGCGTTTAAAAGAACAGTTGGAAGAAAATGAAAGTCAAAAAAACAATATTATCTACGAAATGGAACAAACAATCTCCAAACTAACATCCGAGGTGGAAGAACTAGAAAGAAAGCCGGAGCAACACGCCGACAAGTGGATTCTGTTGACAAAGGTGGAACAATTACAAGAAATCATCAACGAGAAAGATTTGGAAATCAAAAAATTGACTACCGCAGTAACTTATGAAAAAGATCCGCTTATTCCTGATTTGCAAGAGAAACTCTCAGAAAAGAAACAAGAGATTCTTGATCTGAAATCTAACGAAAGCTATCTGCAATCAAAGGTTAATGAATACCAGCAAATTTTGAATCAAAAAGATTCTGTTATACAAATGCAAAAGGCTCAGTTAAATGATATCCAAACCAATTTGAATCAAACGCAAAATGAGTTCTTTTTGCTGCAGAATACTTCCAAGAAAGAGTATGATCATGATTACAATAATTTGAAAAGAAATCATGATGAGCTAGTCAATGAAAATAGGGCAATCAAAGCTGATCTTGAATCTAGCATGGAATGTATAGAAATGTTGGAAAAAGAAATCAAAGAATTGGAAATGAAATTAAGTGAAACTCAAACAGCTCACGAGATTAATAGCAATATGTATAAACAGAATATTAATGAGTTGGAACACGCGCTGAATGAAGCTTTATCCGAAAATAAGAACTTGTTTACTGTAATACTTGCTAATATAGTCAAATGGTGAATTGGAAAAAGAAAAGCAAGAATTAGTTGTAGTCTTGGAAGAATTGGAACGAATTCAATCCACATATGAAAATAATGATAATAGAATTAATGAGCTTGAAAAAGAAAACTTATCTGTCATGGCAACAAATTCCCGCTTGCAAATTGACCTGGAAGAATATCGCATTGCGTTAACAGAAACGGTACAAGAAAACAAGGAATTACATGTAAAGCATTCTAATTTAGATGAAATTGGAAAATTCAGTGTTTCAAGAGAAAGAAATGCAAGAGGCCGACTGTCAAACGGACCAAGCTTTACTTGATACCAATCACAAGGATTTAATCACCAAGTTAGTATTAGCGGGAGACGTTCAGACTCAAAAGGTAAGTGGCTTTAATCATAGTATAATCAATCCATCAAGCAATTCGAGTCAAAAATAAATAGCTTAAAGAAGGAGAAGAATATCATGCAAAACATTGTTGATAAGCAAAAGCTGTTGGAAACCCAGCTAATTCAAGCTTTGGAAAAAGCCAGCGAACAAAATAAGGAACTCAAATCCCAGTTAAATAAAGATGAGTGATTGCTTTTTGAACTTTATTTTTCAATTACTTTTGAATCAGATCTTTCAACTTTCAATATTTGTATAATCAATGGATGAGCAAGACCATGAGGATATTTCGATTTCCAGCAAGGAACAAGAGCGGAAAATCAAGGAAAATGAATTGATTCGGGATATAGTAATCAACAAATACAAGGCGATTAAAGATAACAGAGTAAAACTAATAAACGAAATGGAGCAAGTAAAGAAGCAGTTAAGACAGACCAATTCATATTTATTCAAGCTATCGAGAATGCGAAACAGCACTCAAATGGATATACGGTTAGAATCTGCGCAACCCAGTTTTGAATCTATTACGCTTGATGAAGGTGAACATCTTTACATGATGGACAAGAATTTTATCCTTAAAAAGAAAGGAATATGGTCAAACAAGGAGTTGAAAGAACTAAAGTACCTTGTTGATCTCACAGAGAAAATTAAACCAATAGAACTATCGGATTGGCAAAGAATCAGCAACCAGTTAAAAAGGCCAGTGAATGACTGTATACTCACTCATAATCATTCTAGACAAGTGAAACAGATAAAGTACCATACCAGCTGGACAGAGCAAGAGTCAAACAAACTGCGTCTACTGTATCAGTACTTGCAGAACGATTGGAAAACAATTTCAACTTGGATGAATAAATCACCAAAACAATGCTTTAATCATTACGCAAAGATTGATTTGGTTAAAGGAAGATGGACAGCCGATCAAGACGAAAAGTTAAAAGAGCTGTACCTGAAATACAAAGATGTTGCTCTAGTGCAGAACGAATTAAAGTACAAGAGTACATTTCAAATTAAGCAGCGGCTGAGAAGGTTGAAGTTGCTTGATTGACATTTAATCTGATAACCATTTTCAAACGCGGCGAATAACTAGTATGTAAATAAAATAGCATTTAATCCATTCGATATCATTATGTTTCAGATTGAACTCTTTTAAAGGGTTAACCAAGATTGTGCTAGCCTCAAGATCTGGAGACATTTCAATACCTCAACAAATACAAGGCATAGACTATGAAAATACCAATAATTAGTAAATATATATCGAGAAATCTATGGTACTTTCCAGCAATTCACCCCTAGCCCTCTATAAAAAAGTGTTTTCAATGGTCGAATTTATCCGCACCATGCAAAACAACGAAAAACTAATCGATATAATACAACTACAACAAGCGGCCGAGGAAAAACAAAATCTGGCCTTCCAATCTAGGGGAGTAGTGGACTGCGGGAGCATGAATTTTAACAAGGAAGTATCAGAAAACCTTATAACTCTGATAAAGAAATACCTAGCGTTGAAGAAGCGTAATCTAAGAACAATACATCAATACCGACATCAGAGCCGTAGTTATAGGATGCTAGATAGAAGGTATAGTATGTAAAATTGTAGAATAAATAGTTTGTAGTGTAACTGTTCGGTCTTGTTTGGACTTTTTAAAGAGATGCTCTTGATGCGGTTTTCATGGGTATCTTTGTTTTGCACTCATTGCCGTAACTCTTGGACTGGAGGATAGTTTAATTAATGGATTTTTCCGTTTTTCTTCCCCACCACAGCCACACAATTTGTTTTTGCTCAACCTGAGTAATACACTCTCATTGTCTCTTGAAACTATCTGGTTTGTGTTTTACCTTTTGTGGAAATACATGCACGAAATAAGGATCATTTTAGATCCATAATGGGCTTGTTTTTGACTCTGAAAATTTGATGGATATCCCAAGTCAGATATTATTACCGAATTATATACACTGGGCAATCTGATAGTTCATCAGATCTACTTTCGACCTATGACGCGTAACCAATATGGTAATTTGAAATAGAACTAAATTCTGATTTTTGGCTTGCGGATCGTGAGTTTAAAACGTTGGCAAATCACCAAGGATATTTTGGAGATATGCACAAAGAGGAGTACTGTTATTCGACTCTCAAGTCATGAAACTTGCTGATGCTCTCTTGAAATTCCTAACAGGAGTTAGTTGCATTTTCAAATCCGCCGCTCTTCAAGTTTACTCATTATCGACAGTAAACCTTTGAACTAACTCTAATAAATGCACGCTTCATAGGATTTGGAGGTCATTTTTCATCGTGAATGAAGTTTAGTAATTGCACGGAAAGTCCAATTATTCTCACGTTGGCAATCGCTCAGCTTATCGCTCTATTATAGCCACACGTATTCGGCCAATTTGCAGAGTTTTACGTAACTGAACCGGAAGCTAGTCCAAATATAGTTGTTTGGGAGATAAAAACAGCATAGGTCTCATAATCCTAAGGTCGTGAGTTCGAGTCTCACAGGGAGCACACTTTTTTATTTCTTGCAATTGCACTTATCACATCTGCATTGATATCTAGTTCTTTTCCAAGTGTAGTTTTTACAATCAGCTTGAATGTTTATTCAAATAGTATCCAGATTTATATTCTAGACTCTTTATACTATGACAAAAACTGTCATCAAATATTGTGTTCAAATCATTTTGAAATACCGCATTGAAAGATTCTACGTAAATATTGAAAATACCATTTCTGGACTCGTACTCTTTCAATAGCCAAAAAGTATGGTCGGGAAGCAAGTTACCTGTAATTACATGCTTGTACTGATTATTTTCCAGCTTTACACTGGAAATGTTTGCCCTGTTTAGTTGCGCGTTGAGAAAGATTTTGTTTGACAGCAATTTAGGCTGCGCATTGTAATTCAAAAGAAAGTCGTAAAGAGCGTGTACTGACTTTCTAAAAGTAATAGAATAATTCTCAATTATTTCCTCTGGTTCATCTTCACTGTCGCTGTGTTCGCATTTCTTTCTATCAATGCTTTCGATAAACTCAATTCCTTCGCTCTGTAAAATTGTTCTTAATCCTGGGGTGGATTTGTTCATATGTGCAATAATTTCCCCATCTTGTTAATATGAAATACCTTTAACATAGAACAGTACTGTAAATTCACAGATATAATAAAAATAGTCTGATTGATAATTCTTGAGCATCAAGTACAACGATTGCATGGATAATTTCCAGTCTTTCGAATGGTGGAACCAACTGTACAAGTACTTTGTCAACGAATCTTTTTTAAACAGGACGCTTTTTTGTTCTACTTCGACTATACCGGAGCTGAATTGGATCATCTCGCTAACATCTCTCTTTGGATCAGGTTTGATGTGAAAATCGCATATTATCACTATCCTTGATTTTATAGCCCAATCGATATATAGATCTTCTGCCTTTTTGGGTTCAATTTTGATTCTCTCTATCTGTATTTCCTGAAGCGGTATTGAATTTTCTACTTCTGGCTCCTTTTTGAACAGTTGCAAGGTATTGCTTCTGAATGATGTTGGTTTCTTTTGCGATTGAGTAATGGTGAACGGGTTGATGCGTTTTTTCCCTAGGCTGGAATCCGTTGGTTTGTGCTCTCTATTCAGGAAGTTTGCGAATTTAACTGCCTGGCTCTTCTCCATTTTTTTCTTGATTGTTGTCCAGAATCTAAAACGGAATGCGGAAATCACGGCTGGAGTTGTTGGAGGAGTTCAGACAAACCAAACAGACAAAGATATTAAAGCAAAAGAATAGCAACACTGTCGTCAAGAAGGAAGTAAAGAAGGAGGAACCAAAAGTTATAAAGAAACTCGTCAAACCACAGGTTGAAAGTAAAGTTATACCCGCTCAAGACAGCAAGCAAAACAAAGCGGTAGAAAGCAAGCAAAGCAAAGCGGTAGAAAGCAAGCAAAGTACAAATGAAAAATCAAAGCCTGAACCTATTGAGAACCGCGTTCGGGAAAGTTCACCAGAATTACAAACCCAAGAATCTGCATTGGCTTTTGATCAGTCAGACAAAGATGATAGTCCTATGGAACTGAAAAATGAATCGTTCAGTGAAAATAAGGAGCACGAGTTGGTAAATCATAATATTGTTGTACAGTTGGAACTCGAATCAAAAACAAATCAGATTGAACAATTATCAAGCTTGAACAAGCGTTTAAAAGAACAGTTGGAAGAAAATGAAAGTCAAAAAAACAATATTATCTACGAAATGGAACAAACAATCTCCAAACTAACATCCGAGGTGGAAGAACTAGAAAGAAAGCCGGAGCAACACGCCGACAAGTGGATTCTGTTGACAAAGGTGGAACAATTACAAGAAATCATCAACGAGAAAGATTTGGAAATCAAAAAATTGACTACCGCAGTAACTTATGAAAAAGATCCGCTTATTCCTGATTTGCAAGAGAAACTCTCAGAAAAGAAACAAGAGATTCTTGATCTGAAATCTAACGAAAGCTATCTGCAATCAAAGGTTAATGAATACCAGCAAATTTTGAATCAAAAAGATTCTGTTATACAAATGCAAAAGGCTCAGTTAAATGATATCCAAACCAATTTGAATCAAACGCAAAATGAGTTCTTTTTGCTGCAGAATACTTCCAAGAAAGAGTATGATCATGATTACAATAATTTGAAAAGAAATCATGATGAGCTAGTCAATGAAAATAGGGCAATCAAAGCTGATCTTGAATCTAGCATGGAATGTATAGAAATGTTGGAAAAAGAAATCAAAGAATTGGAAATGAAATTAAGTGAAACTCAAACAGCTCACGAGATTAATAGCAATATGTATAAACAGAATATTAATGAGTTGGAACACGCGCTGAATGAAGCTTTATCCGAAAATAAGAACTTGTTTACTGTAATACTTGCTAATATAGTCAAATGGTGAATTGGAAAAAGAAAAGCAAGAATTAGTTGTAGTCTTGGAAGAATTGGAACGAATTCAATCCACATATGAAAATAATGATAATAGAATTAATGAGCTTGAAAAAGAAAACTTATCTGTCATGGCAACAAATTCCCGCTTGCAAATTGACCTGGAAGAATATCGCATTGCGTTAACAGAAACGGTACAAGAAAACAAGGAATTACATGTAAAGCATTCTAATTTAGATGAAATTGGAAAATTCAGTGTTTCAAGAGAAAGAAATGCAAGAGGCCGACTGTCAAACGGACCAAGCTTTACTTGATACCAATCACAAGGATTTAATCACCAAGTTAGTATTAGCGGGAGACGTTCAGACTCAAAAGGTAAGTGGCTTTAATCATAGTATAATCAATCCATCAAGCAATTCGAGTCAAAAATAAATAGCTTAAAGAAGGAGAAGAATATCATGCAAAACATTGTTGATAAGCAAAAGCTGTTGGAAACCCAGCTAATTCAAGCTTTGGAAAAAGCCAGCGAACAAAATAAGGAACTCAAATCCCAGTTAAATAAAGATGAGTGATTGCTTTTTGAACTTTATTTTTCAATTACTTTTGAATCAGATCTTTCAACTTTCAATATTTGTATAATCAATGGATGAGCAAGACCATGAGGATATTTCGATTTCCAGCAAGGAACAAGAGCGGAAAATCAAGGAAAATGAATTGATTCGGGATATAGTAATCAACAAATACAAGGCGATTAAAGATAACAGAGTAAAACTAATAAACGAAATGGAGCAAGTAAAGAAGCAGTTAAGACAGACCAATTCATATTTATTCAAGCTATCGAGAATGCGAAACAGCACTCAAATGGATATACAGTTAGAATCTGCGCAACCCAGTTTTGAATCTATTACGCTTGATGAAGGTGAACATCTTTACATGATGGACAAGAATTTTATCCTTAAAAAGAAAGGAAAATGGTCAAACAAGGAGTTGAAAGAACTAAAGTACCTTGTTGATCTCACAGAGAAAATTAAACCAATAGAACTATCGGATTGGCAAAGAATCAGCAACCAGTTAAAAAGGCCAGTGAATGACTGTATACTCACTCATAATCATTCTAGACAAGTGAAACAGATAAAGTACCATACCAGCTGGACAGAGCAAGAGTCAAACAAACTGCGTCTACTGTATCAGTACTTGCAGAACGATTGGAAAACAATTTCAACTTGGATGAATAAATCACCAAAACAATGCTTTAATCATTACGCAAAGATTGATTTGGTTAAAGGAAGATGGACAGCCGATCAAGACGAAAAGTTAAAAGAGCTGTACCTGAAATACAAAGATGTTGCTCTAGTGCAGAACGAATTAAAGTACAAGAGTACATTTCAAATTAAGCAGCGGCTGAGAAGGTTGAAGTTGCTTGATTGACATTTAATCCGATAACCATTTTCAAACGCGGCGAATAACTAGTATGTAAATAAAATAGCATTTAATCCATTCGATATCATTATGTTTCAGATTGAACTCTTTTAAAGGGTTAACCAAGATTGTGCTAGCCTCAAGATCTGGAGACATTTCAATACCTCAACAAATACAAGGCATAGACTATGAAAATACCAATAATTAGTAAATATATATCGAGAAATCTATGGTACTTTCCAGCAATTCACCCCTAGCCCTCTATAAAAAAGTGTTTTCAATGGTCGAATTTATCCGCACCATGCAAAACAACGAAAAACTAATCGATATAATACAACTACAACAAGCGGCCGAGGAAAAACAAAATCTGGCCTTCCAATCTAGGGGAGTAGTGGACTGCGGGAGCATGAATTTTAACAAGGAAGTATCAGAAAACCTTATAACTCTGATAAAGAAATACCTAGCGTTGAAGAAGCGTAATCTAAGGACAATACATCAATACCGACATCAGAGCCGTAGTTATAGGATGCTAGATAGAAGGTATAGTATGTAAAATTGTAGAATAAATAGTTTGTAAGTGTAACTGTTCGGTCTTGTTTGGACTTTTTAAAGAGATGCTCTTGATGCGGTTTTCATGGGTATCTTTGTTTTGCACTCATTGCCGTAACTCTTGGACTGGAGGATAGTTTAATTAATGGATTTTTCCGTTTTTCTTCCCCACCACAGCCACACAATTTGTTTTTGCTCAACCTGAGTAATACACTCTCATTGTCTCTTGAAACTATCTGGTTTGTGTTTTACCTTTTGTGGAAATACATGCACGAAATAAGGATCATTTTAGATCCATAATGGGCTTGTTTTTGACTCTGAAAATTTGATGGATATCCCAAGTCAGATATTATTACCGAATTATATACACTGGGCAATCTGATAGTTCATCAGATCTACTTTCGACCTATGACGCGTAACCAATGTGGTAATTTGAAATAGAACTAAATTCTGATTTTTGGCTTGCGGATCGTGAGTTTAAAACGTTGGCGAATCACCAAGGATATTTTGGAGATATGCACAAAGAGGAGTACTGTTATTCGACTTTCAAGTCATGAAACTTGCTGATGCTCTCTTGAAATTCCTAACAGGAGTTAGTTGCATTTTCAAATCCGCCGCTCTTCAAGTTTACTCATTATCGA